CGCGCTGGGATTACGTGGTTTATGCGGCGGTTCTTAGAGACTTTTTCAAACTGTAGCTTCATCGCAATTCGCACAAAGTTTGTTGTGACGGCGGACGAGAATCCAGGACCAGTTCGCCGCAAAAAGAAAGTCAGTTTTCGAGATCGCTGAAAGAAGAAGAGAAGAGGAAAAGGAGCAAAGACAAACTGAGGTGATTCTTGGAGATCCCTTCCAGCGATGGCGCGACTCAAGTAGACGACGGTCGCTAAATTGTTTCTAGACCGGTCACTTCGACTGTAATTCCGAAGGCCCACTGGCTGTAAACGTGTGATTTCTAGAGTAAGGAGGCGGGAGGAGATGTTTCTACTGAGGAGCTGTGGAGGAGGAACATTTGAAAAAGAACTGTCGCTGTAGTTCTCTTCCCTTAATAAAATCCTCTATACAACCTTTAAGGCCTGTCAGTTCATTTAAAACCTGTTTGTGAAACTTTATAAACCACAGTTATTTTTTTTTAAATCACAGAACCTTTCATTTTAAATGTTCTTTTTGAACTTTACGGTTCTGTATGTGTAAGTGACTCTTGTGAGTTTAAGGCCACGTTCTAATGTTCCCTCAACAAAAACACAGCTGGAGTTTTTCTTCGTTCACATGTTTGAGTAAATCTTTATTATGAGTCTACATCTCTAAAGCTCCACACACTTTAAAGTAGAGTTTAAAACAAAGTGGAACACTTCCTGTGTGACCACATGACATCACCAGGTTTTTCATTTCAGTCTGAATGTGCAGGTTTGTGTCAAACATGTGACTGAAACAAACACGACTCCAGGTCTGAGTGACCAGGAACAGAACAGAACAGAACAGAGAACAGAACAGAACAGAACAGAGAACAGAACAGAACAGAACAGAACAGAACAGAACAGAACAGAGAACTGCAGGGCCTTTAAATCTCACACTCTTTTATGGATAATTCTGGATTTATTCTGTTTGTGGAGCGGCTCAGGCTTTTTTAATAAACCGTTTCTCTGAGATTCTCCTGTTTTACTGTTTTTGTGTGGATGTTATAAAGTCGTTTATCATTGGTCAGTATTTCTCTGTAGAGTTATTTCGTGCTTTTAACTTGTTATAGTGATAGGTGTGTGTGAAAGGTCCTGTGGGTTCCCTGCTGTGTGTATGTGAACGTCTCTGGATAAAGTGTGAACTGTCTCCTCTCTGTTTTCTTCTGATGATGAGTTTTACTCAGTTTAATTTAAACTAGACACATGACTTTTTTTTGGCTGTTCACATGCACTTTAATCTGATTATGATCAGATTTCTGGACATTATTTAAATCAAATCTGTTGTGATTCAGAGGGACCATCATCAGAGAGAAATGAATCTTCTGAACAAAAGATCTGAGAAATGTTCAGAATGTTCAGGTGACTCCAGACACTGACGCTCACAGCTCTGTTTTGGGGGAGTGGTGTTTTCTAGCTCAGTTTAACCTGCAGATGTGATCTGATCCTGGACTCAGTCCTGGTTTGTGGTCCTGGGTTCAGGGTCCTGGTCCGGAGGAGGTGGATCTCTCAGAGAATATGTGAGCAATGTGTTGGGGCCGGAGTCCTGGGGTCCTGGTTGGGTTTGGAGTCGTCGTCGTGGTTGGAGTCCTGGTTGGAGTCCTGGTTGGAGTCCTGGTTGGAGTCCTGGTTGGAGTCCTGGTTGGAGTCCTGGTTGGAGTCCTGGTTGGAGTCCTGGTTGTGCCTCGTGTGCTTGGGTGTGTCTCAGATGGTTTATTGGCTGGTGTGTGTGTGATGTGTGTGATCCACAGGATAGAATGAATAACAGTATTAAGTGTAAGAGCCTGGAGTTGGTCTGGGGTTGGTCTGGAGTCGGTCTAGAGTCGGTTTGGAGTCGGTCTGGAGTCGGTCTGGAGTCGGTCAGGGGTTGGTCTGGAGTTGGTCTGGAGTTGGTCTCGGGTTGGTCTGGAGTTGGTCTCGGGTTGGTCTGGAGTTGGTCTGGGGTTCGTCTCGGGTTGGTCTGGAGTTGGTCTCGGGTTGGTCTCGGGTTGGTCTGGGGTCGGTCTGGAGGTTGGTCTGGAGTTGGTCTCGGGGTCTGGTCTGGAGTCGGTCTGGGGTCGGTCTGGGGTCGGTCTGGAGTCGGTCTGGAGTTGGTCTCGGGTTCTGGAGTTGGGTCTCGGGTTGGTCTGGAGTTGGTCTGGAGTTGGTCTCGGGTTGGTCTGGAGTTGGTCTGGAGTTGGTCTGGGTCGGTCTGGAGTTGGTCTGGAGGGTCTGGTCTGGAGTCGGTCTGGGGTCGGTCTGGAGTCGGTCTGGAGTCGGTCTCTGGGTTCGGGTCTGGGGTCGGGTCAGTCTGGAGTCTGGAGTTGGTCTGGAGTTGGTCTGGAGTTGGTCTGGAGTTGGTCTGGAGTCGGTCTGGGGTCGGTCTGGAGTCGGTCTGGTCGGTCTGGAGTCGGTCTGGAGTTGGTCTGGAGTCTGGAGTCTCTGGTCGTCTGGAGTCGGTCTGGAGTCTGGGTCTCGGTCTGGAGTTGGTCTGGAGTTGGTCTGGAGTCGGTCTGGAGTCGGTCTGGAGTCGGTCTGGAGTCTGGAGTTGGTCTGGAGTTGGTCTGGTTGGTCTGGAGTTGGTCTGGGGTGTGGTCTGGAGTCTGGTCTGGGTCTTGGGGTCGGTGGAGTCTGGTCTGGGGTCTCTGGAGTTGGTCTGGAGTTGGTCTGGAGTGGGTCGGTCTCTGGGGTCGGTCTGGGTCGGTCTGGGTCGGTCTGGAGTTCTCTGGGTCGGTCTCTGGAGTCGGTCTGGGTTGGTCTGGGTCTGGAGTTGGTCTGGAGTCCTTGGAGTTGGTCTGGAGTCGGTCTGGAGTCGGTCTGGGTCGGTCTGGAGTCGGTCTGGAGTCGGGTCTGGAGTCTGGAGTCTGGAGTCTGGAGTCGGGTCTCGGGTTGGTTCTCGGAGTTGGTCTGGAAGTTGGTCTGGAGTTGGTCTGGAGTTGGGTCTGGGTTGGTCTGGTTGGTCTGGAGTCTGGAGTCGGTCTGGAGTCTGGAGTCTGGAGTCTGGTCTGGAGTCTGGAGTCGGTCTGGGGTCTGGAGTCTGGAGTCGGTGGTCTCGGGTTTGGTCTGGTCTGGGGTCGGTCTGGAGTTGGTCTCGGGAGTGGTTAGTTGGTCTCGGGTTGGTCTGGAGTTGGTCTGGAGTTGGTCTCGGAGTTGGTGGGTCTGGGGTCGGTCTGGGTCGGTCTGAGTTGGTCTGGGAGTTGGTCTCGTCTGGAGTTGGTCGGTTGTCTGGTCAGTCTGGGGTCGGTCTGGGGGTCGGTCTGGAGTTGGTCTCGGTTCTCTGGGTTGGTCTCTCGGGTTCGGAGTTGGTCTGGTCTGGGTTGTCTGGTCTGGAGTTGGTCTCGGAGTTGGTCTGGAGTCGGTCTGGAGTCGGGTCTGGAGTCGGTCTGGAGTCTGGAGTCGGTCTGGGGTCGGTCTGGGTTGGTCTGGGTTCTGGGTCGGTCTGGAGTTGGTCGGGTCGGGTTTGGTCTGGAGTTGGTCTGGGTTGGTCTGGGGGTCTGGAGTTGGTCTGGAGTCGTCTGGGGTCCTTGGGTCTGGTCCTCGGTCTGGTCTGGGGTCTCGGTCTCTGGGGTCGGTCTGGGTTGGTCTCGGGTTGGTTCTGGAGTTGGTCTCTCGGGTTGGTCTGGTTGGTCTGGAGTTGGTCTCGGGTTGGTCTGGAGTTGGTCTGGAGTTGGTCTCGGGTTGGTCTGGAGTTGGTCTGGAGTTGGTCTCGGGGTTGGTCTGGAGTCGGTCTGGAGTCGGTCTGGGGTCGGAGTCGTCTCGGTCTGGGTTGGTCTGGAGTTGGTCTGGGTTGGTCTGGAGTTGGTCTGGTTGGTCTCGGGTTGGTCTGGAGTTGGTCTCGGGTTGGTCTGGAGTTGGTCTCGGGTTGGTCTGGAGTTGGTCTCGGGTTGGTCTGGAGTTGGTCTCGGGTTGGTCTCGGGTTGGTCTGGAGTTGGTCTGGAGTTGGTCTCGGGTCTGGGAGTTGGTCTCTGGAGTTGGTCTCTCTGGAGTTGGTCTGGGTCGTCTGGAGTCTCGGTCTCGGGTTGGTCTGGCTGGAGTCTGGAGTTGGTCTCTGGGTTGGTCTGGAGTTGGTCTCTGGTCTGGAGTTGGTCTGGGTTGGTCTCGGGAGTTGGTCTCGGGTTGGTCTGGAGTCGGTCTGGAGTCTCTTGGTCTGGGTTGGTCTGGGTTGTCTGGAGTCGGTCTGGAGTTGGTCTCGGTGGAGTTGGTCTCGGGTTGGGAGTCTGGAGTGGTCTCGGGTTGGTCTGGAGTTGGTCTGGGTTGGTCTGGAGTTGGTCTCGGGTCTGGGTTGGTCTGGTTGGTCTCGGGTCTGGAGTTGGTCTCGGGGTTCTGGTCTCTCTGGGGTCGGTCTGGAGTTGGTCTCGGGTTGGTCTGGAGTTGGTCTGGGGTTCATCTCGGGTTGGTCTGGAGAGAGGTTTTATCCAGTTCCTCCTGATGCTCACGGCTGCTTCTGTTTTCTGATGTGAATGAAGTGACACGGTACAAACATTTTACATTAAACTTTTATCCACTTTTTCTTGAGGGGAGTTAGTTTTGTTTCACACTGAGGTTAAAAACTCTCTGACTGTATTTGTATTTACACAGAGTTAAATAAGTTGTATTAATAAGAGTGACACGACACACTTGGATGAGTTGTGTGTTTTTGTGTTTTCAGGCGCTGCTCTCTTCTCTCTGGTGTGTGTTGATCTCAGGATCTGCAGATACTTTTAGTGTTTAGGGTCAGAGCTCAATAAACAACTTCACATGGACTAATGTGCCACTCGGGAATTTCACAGATGAATTTCAAAAATGGAAAATATGTCTCAGATTTCTTCTGTTCTTAGTCATTCCTAAAGCTCAGAGTGTCCTGTGTGCCCTGATGTGTGTGTTCTGGTGTGTGTACTCTGACGTGTGTGTGTCTCCCTCTGTGGTGTGTGTTCTGGTGTGTGTTTTGTTGTGTGTGTTCTGGTGTGTGTGTGTACTCTGACGTGTGTGTGTCTCTGTGTGTGTGCGCAGGACTACGAGAAGGCCTTGTTCTTCCCCTGCAAAGCAGCTGAACTGGTCAACGACTACGGCAAAGGCTGGAGTCTTAAGTACCGCGCCATGAGCCAGTACCACATGTCTGTGGCCTACAGGAAACTGGAGCGCCTGCCCGACGCCATGGAGTGCTGCGAGGTATGTGAGCGCGGCTGCGAGGTATGTGAGCGCGGCCCTGGCCCGCTGCTTTTCCTCTGAGTCTTACATAAGACCTGTAAATAAGAGCTGTAAGAGTCCTCACATTATTAAAGCTGCTCGGCGTGAGGACAGCTGCAGCTACAGCTGTTCTGGACCAGGAAAACTTAAAACCGCTTTATTAACACTCGGGGCATATTTCTGTCCGCTCTAAGTTTAAGACGGCTTTGGCACGAGGCGCTCAGACTGAGGTGATTTAAAATGAAGCCGGATGCATTTCCCGTTTGTGAAACCTGAGCCTCCAAACAACATTCACACAACAGGTCTGTGTCCAGGAGCCACAGTCTGTGTGTGTGTCTGTGTCTGTGTGTGTGTGTGTGTGTGTGTGTGTCTGTGTGTGTGTGTGTGTGTGTGTGTGTGTGTGTGTGTGTGTGTGTGTGTGTGTGTGTGTCTGTGTCTGTGTGTCTGTGTGTGTGTGTGTGTGTGTGTGTGTGTGTGTGTGTCTGTGTGTCTGTGTCTGTGTGTGTGTCTGTGTCTGTGTATGTGTGTGTGTGTGTGTCTGTGTGTGTCTGTGTGTGTGTGTCTGTGTGTGTCTGTGTGTGTGTCTGTGTGTCTGTGTGTGTGTGTCTGTGTCTGTGTATGTGTGTGTGTCTGTGTGTGTGTGTGTGTCTGTGTGTCTGTCTGTGTGTGTGTGTGTCTGTGTGTGTGTGTGTCTGTGTCTGTGTGTCTGTGGACCGGCCCCTGTTAGACTGTCTGTGCCTGCGGCCTCTGTAGAACTGTAACCTCTGTAGTCTGTAGTCTCTGTAGTCTCTGTAGCCTCTGTAGTCTCTGTAGTCTGTAGTCTGTAGTCTCTGTAGTGTCTGTAGTCTCTGTAGTCGTGTAGTCTCTGTAGTCTCTGTAGTCTCTGTAGTCTCTGTAGTCGTGTAGTCTCTGTAGTCTGTAGTCTGTAGTCTCTGTAGTCTCTGTAGTCTCTGTAGTCTCTGTAGTCTCTGTAGTCTCTGTAGTCTGTAGTCTCTGTAGTCGTGTAGTCTCTGTAGTCTGTAGTCTGTAGCTCTGTAGTCTGTAGTCTGTAGTCTCTGTAGTCTGTAGTCTCTGTAGTCTGTAGTCTCTGTAGTCTGTAGTCTCTGTAGTCGTGTAGTCTCTGTAGTCGTGTAGTCTCTGTAGTCTCTGTAGTCTGTAGTCTCTGTAGTCTCTGTAGTCTCTGTAGTCTCTGTAGTCTCTGTAGTCTCTGTAGTCTGTAGTCTCTGTAGTCTCTGTAGTCTGTAGTCTGTAGTCTGTAGTAGTCTCTGTAGTCTGTAGTCTGTAGTCTCTGTAGTCGTGTAGTCTGTAGTCTGTAGTCTCTGTAGTCTGTAGTCTCTGTAGTCTTGTAGTCTGTAGTCTCTGTAGTCGTCTGTAGTCTCTGTAGTCAGTGTAGTCTGTAGTCTCTGTAGTCTCTGTAGTCTCTGTAGTCTCTGTAGTCTGTAGTCTCTGTAGTCGTGTAGTCTCTGTAGTCTCTGTAGTCGTGTAGTCTCTGTAGTCTGTAGTCGTGTTGTCTCTGTAGTCTCTGTAGTCTTTGTAGTCTGTAGTCGTGTAGTCTCTGTAGTCTGTAGTCATGTTGTCTCTGTAGTCTCTGTAGTCTGTAGTCTCTGTAGTCGTGTAGTCTCTGTAGTCGTGTAGTCTGTGTAGTCTGTAGTCTCTGTAGTCTGTAGTCTCTGTAGTCTGTAGTCTCTGTAGTATTGTAATCTCTGTAGTCTGTAGTCTCTGTAGTCTCTGTAGTCTGTAGTCTCTCTGTAGTCTCTGTAGTCTGTAGTCGTGTAGCCTCTGTAGTCTCTGTAGTCGTGTAGTCTCTGTAGTCGTGTAGTCTCTGTAGTCTGTAGTCGTGTAGTCTCTGTAGTCTGTAGTCTCTGTAGTCTGTAGTCGTGTAGCCTCTGTAGTCTCTGTAGTCGTGTAGTCTCTGTAGTCTGTAGTCTCTGTAGTCTGTAGTCTCTGTAGTCGTGTCTCTGTAGTCTCTGTAGTCTGTAGTCTCTGTAGTAGTCTCTGTAGTCTGTAGTCTCTGTAGTCGTTGTCTCTGTAGTCTCTGTAGTCTCTGTAGTCTGTAGTCTCTGTCTCTGTAGTCTGTTTGTAGTCTCTGTAGTATTGTAATCTCTGTAGTCTGTAGTCTCTGTAGTCTGTAGTCTCTGTAGTCTGTAGTCTCTGTAGTCTCTGTAGTCTGTAGTCTCTGTAGTCTGTAGTCTGTAGTCTCTGTAGTCTGTAGTCTGTAGTCTGTAGTCTCTGTAGTCTCTGTAGTCTGTAGTCTCTGTAGTCATGTAGTCTGTGTAGTCTGTAGTCTCTGTAGTCTCTGTAGTCTCTGTAGTCGTAGTCTCTGTAGTCTGTAGTCTCTGTAGTCTGTAGTCTCTGTAGTCTGTAGTCTCTGTAGTCTGTAGTCTGTAGTCTCTGTAGTCTGTAGTCTCTGTAGTCTCTGTAGTCTCTGTAGTCTGTAGTCTGTAGCTGTAGTCTAGTCTCTGTAGTCTTGTAGTCTGTAGTCTGGTAGTGTAGTCTCTGTAGTCTCTGTAGTAGTCTGTAGTCTCTGTCTCTGTAGTCTCTGTAGTCTGTAGTCTGTAGTCTCTGTAGTCTGTAGTCTCTGTAGTCTGTGTCTCTGTAGTCTGTAGTAGTCGTCTGTAGTCTCTGTAGTCTAGTCTCTGTAGTCTGTAGTCTGTAGTCTGTTGTCTCTGTAGTCTGTAGTCTCTGTAGTCTGTAGTCTGTAGTCTCTGTAGTCTCTGTAGTCTCTGTAGTCTCTGTAGTAGTCTCTGTAGTCTGTAGTCTCTGTAGTCTGTAGTCTCTGTAGTCGTGTAGTCTGTAGTCTGTAGCTCTGTTCTGTAGTCTCTGTAGTCTCTAGTCTCTGTAGTATCGTAGTCTCTGTAGTCTGTAGTCTCTGTAGTCTGTAGTCTCTGTAGTCTGTAGTCTCTGTAGTAGTCTCTGTAGTCTGTAGTCTCTGTAGTCTGTAGTCTCTGTAGTCTGTAGTAGTCTGTAGTCTCTGTAGTCGTGTAGTCTCTGTAGTCTCTGTAGTCGTGTAGTCTCTGTAGTCTCTGTAGTCGTGTAGTCTCTGTAGTCTGTAGTAGTCTCTGTAGTCTGTAGTCTTTGTAGTCTGTAGTCTCTGTAGTCTCTGTAGTCTCTGTAGTCTCTGTAGTCTGTAGTCTGTAGTCTCTGTAGTCTCTCTGTAGTCTCTTAGTCGTAGTCTCTGTAGTCTGTAGTCTCTGTAGTCTCTGTAGTCTCTGTAGTCCTCTGTAGTCTCTCTGTAGTCTGTAGTCTCTGTAGTCTCTGTAGTCTCTGTAGTCTCTGTAGTCTGTAGTCTGTAGTCTGTAGTCTCTGTAGTCTCTGTAGTCTCTGTAGTCTCTGTAGTCTGTAGTCTGTAGTCTGTAGTCTCTGTAGTCGTAGTAGTCTCTGTAGTCTGTAGTCTGTAGTCTCTGTAGTCTGTAGTCTGTGTAGTCTCTGTAGTATCTGTAGTCTCTGTAGTCTGTAGTCTCTGTAGTCTCTGTAGTCTCTGTAGTCTCTCTGTAGTCAGTCTCTGTAGTCTCTGTAGTCTGTAGTCTCTGTAGTCTCTGTAGTCTCTGTAGTCTGTAGTCTCTGTAGTCTGTAGTCTCTGTAGTCTCTGTAGTCTCTGTAGTCTCTGTAGTCGTGTAGTCTCTGTAGTCTGTAGTCTCTGTAGTCTCTGTAGTCTCTGTAGTCTTGTAGTCTCTGTAGTCGTGTAGTCTCTGTAGTCTCTGTAGTCTGTAGTCTCTCTGTAGTCTCTCTGTAGTCTCTCTGTAGTCTGTAGTCTCTGTAGTCTCTGTAGTCTGTAGTCTCTGTAGTCTCTGTGTAGTCTCTGTAGTCTGTAGTCTGTAGTAGTCTCTGTAGTCTCTGTAGTCGTGTAGTCTGTAGTCTCTGTAGTCTCTGTAGTCTCTCTGTAGTCTCTGTAGTCTCTGTAGTCTCTGTAGTCGTGTAGTCTCTGTAGTCTGTAGTCTGTAGTCTGTAGTCTGTAGTCTCTGTAGTCTCTGTAGTCTGTAGTCTCTGTAGTCTGTAGTCTCTGTAGTCGTGTAGTCTCTGTAGTCTGTAGTCTCTGTAGTCTGTAGTCTCTGTAGTCTCTGTAGTCTGTAGTCTCTGTAGTCTCTCTGTAGTCAGTGTAGTCTCTGTAGTCGTGTAGTCTCTGTAGTCTCTGTAGTCTCTGTAGTCTGTAGTAGTCTCTGTAGTCTGTAGTCTCTGTAGTCTCTCTGTAGTCTCTGTAGTCTGTAGTCTGTAGTCTGTAGTCTCTGTAGTCTCTGTAGTCTGTAGTCTCTGTAGTCTCTGTAGTCTCTGTAGTCTCTGTAGTCTCTGTAGTCTCTGTAGTCTCTGTAGTCTGTAGCCTCTGTAGTCTCTGTAGTCTGTAGTCTCTGTAGTCTCTGTAGTCTCTGTAGTCTCTGTAGTCTCTGTAGTCTGTAGTCTGTAGTCTGTAGTCGTGTAGTCTCTGTAGTCTCTGTAGTCTCTGTAGTCTGTAGTCTCTGTAGTCGTAGTCTCTGTAGTTCTGTAGTCTGTAGTCTGTAGTCTGTAGTCTCTGTTAGTCTCTGTAGTCTGTAGTCTCTGTAGTCTGTAGTCTCTGTAGTCTGTAGTCTCTGTAGTCTGTAGTCTCTGTAGTCTGTAGTCTGTAGTCTGTAGTCTCTGTAGTCTGTAGTCTCTGTAGTCTGTAGTCTCTGTAGTCTCTGTAGTCTGTAGTCTCTCTGTAGTCTCTGTAGTCTGTAGTCTCTGTAGTCTCTGTAGTCTGTAGTCTCTGTAGTCTCTAGTCTCTGTAGTCTCTGTAGTAGTCTGTAGTCTCTGTAGTCTCTGTAGTCTCTCTGTAGTGTAGTCTCTGTAGTCTCTGTAGTCTCTGTAGTCTGTAGTCTCTGTAGTCTCTGTAGTCTTGTAGTCTCTGTAGTCTGTAGTCTCTCTGTAGTCTTCTGTAGTCTGTAGTCCTCTGTAGTCTCTGTAGTCTCTGTAGTCTGTAGTCTCTGTAGTCTGTAGTCTCTGTAGTCTCTGTAGTCTGTAGTCTCTGTAGTCTGTAGCCTCTGTAGTCTCTGTAGTCTGTAGCCTCTGTAGTCTCTGTAGTCTGTAGCCTCTGTAGTCTCTGTAGTCTCTGTAGTCTGTAGTCTCTGTAGTCTCTGTAGTCTGTAGTCTGTAGTCTCTTGTAGTCTGTAGTCTCTAGTCTTCTGTAGTCTCTGTAGTCTCTGTAGTCTGTAGTCTCTGTAGTCTCTCTGTAGTCTGTAGTCTCCTGTAGTCTGTAGTCTCTGTAGTCTCTGTAGTCTCTGTAGTCTGTAGTCTCTGTAGTCTCTGTAGTCCTCTGTAGTCTCTGTAGTCTGTGTAGTCTCTGTAGTAGTAGTCTGTAGTCTGTAGTCTCTGTAGTCTCTGTAGTCTCTCTGTAGTCTGTAGTCTCTGTAGTAGTTCTGTAGCCTCTGTAGTGTCTCTAGTAGTTGTAGTCTCTGTAGTCTCTGAGTAGTCTCTCTGTAGTCTCTGTAGTCTGTAGCCTCTGTAGTCTCTGTAGTCTGTAGCCTCTGTAGTCTCTGTAGTTTGTAGTCTCTGTAGTCTCTGTAGTATTGTAGTCTCTGTAGTCTCTGTAGTCTCTGTAGTCTCTTGTCTCTGTAGTCTGTTGTCTCTGTAGTCTGTAGTCTCTGTAGTCTCTGTAGTATTGTAGTCTCTGTAGTCTCTGTAGTCTCTGTAGTCTCTTGTCTCTTGTCTCTGTAGTCTCTTGTCTCTGTAGTCTGTAGTCTCTGTAGTCTCTGTAGTCTCTGTAGTCTCTGTAGTCTTGTAGTCTCTCTGTAGTCTCTGTAGTCTCTGTAGTCTCTTAGTCTCTGTAGTCTGTGTCTCTGTCTGTAGTCTCTGTAGTCTCTGTAGTATTGTAGTCTCTGTAGTCTCTGTAGTCTCTGTAGTCTCTTGTCTCTTGTCTCTGTAGTCTCTTGTCTCTGTAGTCTGTAGTCTCTGTAGTCTCTGTAGTATTGTAGTCTCTGTAGTCTTTTTCAAGTTCCTGAGTCTCTGTTTCTCTGTTTTCAGGAGTCTATGAAGATCGCGCTGCAGCACGGAGATCGCCCCCTGCAGGCGCTCTGTCTGCTCAACTTCGCAGACATTCACCGCTGCAGACGAGACGTGGACGTACGGCTCACTTTTTATTACACACATAATTCTGCTCAGATTAAAGCTGCACTGTGTAACTTTTCTAATGGAGGACAAGTAATATAACGTATGTATGGACTCGAGCAGGAAAAGTTCCACAGTGCGTCTTTCAGACAAGTTCTGTCTAAAGTTCTCATCTGTCCGTTGTCCTTCCCGTCACAGAAAGCATTCCCTCGGTACGAGTCGGCTCTGGGCATCATGACGGAGATCGGGAATCGTCTGGGACAGGTCCACGTCTACCTGGGAGTCGGGAAGTGCTGGCTCCTGCAGAAGGACCACGACAAGGTCTGGAGACACCGTGTGGGACAGACAGGGACAGAGACAGAGACAGAGACAGGGACAGGGACAGAGACAGGGACAGAGACAGAGACAGGGACAGGGACAGAGACAGAGACAGGGACAGGGACAGAGACAGGGACAGAGACAGAGACAGGACAGGGACAGGGACAGAGACGGGGACAGAGACAGGGGACAGAGGACAGGGACAGAGAGACAGGGGACAGGGGACAGGGACAGAGACAGGGACAGGGACAGGGACAGAGACAGGGACAGGGAACAGGACAGAGACAGGGACAGGACAGGGACAGAGGGACAGGGACAGAGACAGAGACAGGGACAGGACAGAGACAGGGACAGACAGAGGACAGAGACAGAGACAGGAGACAGGACAGGGACAGGGACAGAGACAGGGACAGAGACAGACAGGGGCAGGGACAGAGACAGGGGCAGGGACAGAGACAGGGACAGGGACAGAGACAGGGACAGGGAGACAGGGACAGGGACAGAGGACAGACAGGGAGAGACAGGGACAGAGACAGGGGCAGGGACAGAGACAGGGGCAGGGACAGGGACAGAGACAGGGGCAGAGACAGACAGAGACAGGGACAGGGGCAGGGACAGAGACAGGGGCAGGACAGAGACAGGGGCAGGGACAGAGGACAGAGACAGAGACAGGGACAGGGACAGACAGACAGGGACAGAGACAGGGACAGGGACAGACAGAGACAGGGACAGGGACAGGGACAGAGACAGGGACAGGGACAGGGACAGAGACAGGGACAGGGCAGGGACAGAGACAGGGGCACAGGGGCAGGGACAGAGAGGACAGGGGCAGGGACAGAGACAGGGACAGAGACAGGACAGAGACAGGGACAGAGGGGACAGAGGACAGGGGCAGGACAGAGACAGGGACAGAGACAGAGGACAGAGACAGGCAGGGACAGGGACAGAGACAGAGACAGGGACAGCAGGGACAGGACAGAGACAGAGACAGGGGCAGGGACAGGGTGACTTGGTTCTATAGTAATTCTCATGTGAAGTTTTGTGAAGTTTGGCCCCCCTCAGCTCATACAGTGACTCTCACGTTCTCTCACGTTCTGTCACGTTCTCTCACGTTCTGTCACGTTCTGTCACGTTCTCTCACGTTCTGTCACGTTCTCTCACGTTCTGTCACGTTCTGTCACGTTCTCTCACGTTCTGTCACGTTCTGTCACGTTCTCTCACGTTCTCTCACGTTCTCTCACGTTCTCTCACGTTCTGTCACGTTCTCTCACGTTCTCTCACGTTCTCACGTTCTCTCACGTTCTCTCTCGTTCACGTTCTGTCACGTTCTGTCACGTTCTCTCACGTTCTGTCACGTTCTGTCACGTTCTCTCACGTTCTCTCACGTTCTCTCACGTTCTCTCACGTTCTGTTGTTCTTTTGTTTTCTCTTTTTCTTTAGGCCCTGGATTCTCTTCAGCGAGCGCAGCAGCTCGCAGACGCCATCGGAAACAAGGTCCAGTGTGTCACACCACATACTTTTATTTATACTATATAAATATATAAAGTATATAAAGTATATATATGAAGTATGTACCCAGCAGAAAGTGGACTCTGACAGAGTCAGTTTGAACATTTCCTCAGTGTTTATCTGAGTCACTCTGTTCTAGAGTTAATTTAACATTTGCGTAAATGTTCATGAAGTAAAACTGGACCAAAGTTCCTGTTTAACTCCAAATCCAGAGTTATATGAACGTTTAGAGAGTAAACAGATAACACTTTGTAGAGTTATCTTGATTTAACTAAAGGGAGTTTGAAGTCAAATTAACACTAAGAGAAGTTAAATTAACTTCAACCAAATCAACTCTGACAAATCACCCCAACTCCAACACACATTTAACAAAGAGTTCAAATCACACTTTTTGAGTTCAAAACAACTCTGAAATATTTCACTCTGAAATTTTAACCCTCCAGTTTCTGCTGTGTAAAGTATACAGAGTATATAAAGTATACAGAGTATATAAAGTATACAGAGTATATAATGTATACAGAGTGTATAAAGTACATATGTTATATAAAGTACATATAAGTTATATAAAGTACATATAAGTTATATAGAGTATATATGAGTTATATAAAGTATATATAAGTTATATAAAGTATATATGAGTATATATAAAGTATATATGAGTTATATAAGTATATATTATATAAGTAGTTATATAAAGTATATATAAGTATATATAGTTAGTATATAAAGTACATATGAGTTATATATAAAGTATATATGAGTTATATAAAGTATATATAAGTTATATAAAGTTATATAATAGTATATATTATATAGTTATATAAATACATATGAGTTATATAAAGTATATATAAAGTATATAGTATATAAAAGTATATATGAGTTATATAAAGTACATATGAGTTATATAAAGTATATATGAGTTATATAAAGTATATATAAGTATATATAAAGTACATATGAGTATATAAAGTATATATATAGTATATAAGTTATATATAAGTTATATAAAGTTATATAAAGTATATATGAGTTATATAGTTATATAAAGTATATATGAGTTATATAAAGTTATATATAAGTTATATAAAGTACATATGAGTTATATAAAGTATATATGAGTTATATATATAGTATATATAAGTTATATAAAGTATATATGAGTTATATAAAAGTATATGAGTTATATAAAGTATATATGAGTTATATAAAGTACATATATAGTATATATAAAGTAATATATATTATATAATAGTATATATGAGTTATATAAAGTATATATAAAGTTATATAAAGTACATATGAGTTATATATATATATAGTATATATGAGTTATATAAAGTACATATGAGTTATATAAAGTATATATGAGTTATATAAAGTATATATATGTATAGTTATATAAAGTATATATGAGTTATATAAAGTATATATATGAGTTATATAAAGTATATATGAGTTATATAAAGTATATATGAGTTATATATGAGTTATATAAAGTACATATGAGTTATATATAATAGTACATATGAGTTATATAAAAGTATATATGAGTTATATATATATAGTATATATGAGTTATATAAAGTACATATGAGTTATATATAAGTTATATATATGAGTTATATAAAGTATATATGAGTTATATAAAGTATATATGAGTTATATAAAGATATATATGAGTATATATAAATAGTATATATGAGTTATATAAAGTATACATATGAGTTATATAAAGTATATATGAGTTATATAAAAGTACATATGAGTTATATAAAGTACATATGAGTTATATAAAGTACATATGAGTTATATAAAGTACATATGAGTTATATAAAGTATAATATGAGTTATATAAAAGTACATATATGAGTTATATAAAGTTATATGAGTTATATAAAGTATATATTATATAAAAGTATATATGAGTTATATAAAGTACATATGAGTATATAAAAGTATATATATGAGTATATATAAAGTACATATGAGTTATATAAAGTAATATATGAGTTATATAAAGTACATATGAGTTATATAAAGTATATATGAGTTATATAAAGTACATATGAGTTATATAAAGTATATATGAGTTATATAAAGTACATATGAGTTATATAAAGTATATATGAGTTATATAAAGTACATATGAGTTATATAAAGTACATATGAGTTATATAAAGTATATATGAGTTATATAAAGTACATATGAGTTATATAAAGTACATATGAGTTATATAAAGTATATATGAGTTATATAAAGTATATATGAGTTATATAAAGTATATATGAGTTATATAAAGTATATATGAGTTATATAAAGTATATATGAGTTATATAAAGTACATATGAGTTATATAAAGTACATATGAGTTATATAAAGTATATATGAGTTATATAGAGTCCACTGAGTCAGGTGGATGCAGGTGTGTGACAGATGTTTGTGTGGACCACAGTTGTCCACGCTGAAGGTCCACTGCATCAGTGAGAACATCTACAGGAGCCGCGGGCAGCAGGACGAGCTCCGGGAGCAGGTGGTCAAGTTCCTTCAGTGTGTGGAGGAGCTGGAGCTTTACTGCGGCATGTGCGGCGAGAGCATCGGAGACCGAGACCAGAAGCTCCAGGCTCTGCCCTGCTCGCACATCTTCCACCTCAAGTGAGTACGAGACCCCGCCCCCTCCAAACTGTGTATGAGACCCCGCCCCCACAAACCCGAGTACAGGACCCCGCCCCCGCCAAACTCTGTACGAGACCCCGCCCCCACGAACCTGAGTACAAGACCCCGCCCCCGCCAAACTGTGTACGAGACCACGCCCCCACAAACCTGAGTACGAGACCCCGCCCCCGCCAAACTGTGTACGAGACCCCGCCCCTGTGAAACTGTGTACGAGACCCCGCCCCCGTGATATATAGACATAATATAAAACATGAGGAGTGTAGTTTTGCAGCTGATTGTTCCTTTGACTCTTTAATCCCAAACCAGAAGGTGAGAGGAAAGAGTTCACAGTTCTAAACATGTAGGAGCCGTAAAGTCATGGAAAATTCACTGTAGTCATGGAAAAGTCATGGAAAATTCACTGTAGTCATGGAAAAGTCATGGAAAATTCACTGTAGTCATGGAAAAGTCATGGAAAATTCACTGTAGTCATGGAAAAGTCATGGAAAATTCATGTGAGGTCAGTGAAACAGGGAACTCTGTTTGATTAAATCATTTTGAGCAGCATTAACGTTTAAGTGCAGTACAGGTTAGTGGCCACTCGAGGGCGCTCTGCAGTGGCTCCAATTTTTTATCTGGTGAAATTTGTTGCTATAAAAATCTTATTTCTTAACATAAAAAATCCAAAGCAGCTCCGTCGTATAAAACAGACCCACAGTGTTTGTGCTGGAGCTGTGAAGTGTCCAGTCCCAACATGGCCGCCGTTCTGTTGGGCCCTCAGACTGTTTATATAAATCCAGTCCACTTTAATTCTGCAGAACATTTCATAAACAAACAGTTTCCAAAAGTAAAATACAAAATAATAACAACAATAATAATATAAAGATAAAATTAAACAAATAAAACCAATAAAATAAATAAATTAAACTCACAGAGGAAAATGGACGTTTGCTTTTCGTGTTCCAAACAGAAGTTCACATGTGGCTCTTCTGGCTCTTCTGGCTCCTTCTCCAGTCACTTACATTAAAACTGTGGCTCTTGTTTGTGATACAGAGACTGGCTCCAGATTCTCCCTGTGACTGATCATCTCGAGCTGCAGATGTGGACGACGTCATGTTCACTTAGAACTCGTCTTTAAACACGTCTGTGGTCTGAACGAGCTCCAAAGAAACAAACTGAGATCGTCTGAAAACTCAAGACACACGAGTCACAAAAACAAAACAAAAACAAAAAGATCATGTTTTCAGGAGCCTGAGGTCAGAGCGAAGGTTCATGCTCCTGTTCAGAGACTCGGTGAAGAACAGATCTGATGACCTGGTGGATTCAGATGAGTCAGGTCGTTCAGGTCGTGTTGGGTTCAAATAAAGATCAGATTAAAGGTTGTATGGAGGATTTTTTTTTTTCAGTTTCAAATTATCAATGAAAGTTTAAAATACCATTACAGAGCTGCAGTAGCCTTGTAATTATGATGACCAAAAAAAAAAAAAAAAGAATGAAAATCTATGAACTGTGGACTTAGTGAGGCTAGATAAACATCAGCCAATAGAAAACAAGGTTGCCTCATTTTCTAATGGCTGTTAGGTTGTCAATCAAACTCTTTACATTTCTAGGGTAACTATGCAGCGGTTCTTAGAGGCTTTTTCTACTTGTAGCTTCCTCGCAGTTCGCACAAAGTTTGTTGCGATGCCGGATGAGAATCCACGACCAGTTCTCCACAAAAGAAAGTCAGTTTTTGAGGTCGCTGAAAGAAGAAAAGAATGAGAAAAGGAGCGAAGACAAACTGAGGTGATTCTTGGAGATTCCTTTCAGCGATTGTGCGACTGAAGCAGACAAAGGGTCTAAAAACTGAGGTGTCGGTCTCCAAATGATTTCTAGAGGAACATTTGAAAAAGGCCTGTCGCTGTATTTCTCTTTCCTTAAAAAATCCTCTATACAACCTTTAAGTGTGAGAAAGCGTCAGACAGAGCAGTGCCTGTGGTTAGCATCACAAACATCTCCTCATGGTTTCCTCCGTGTGTCTGCAGGTGTCTGGAGACCAACGGCACGAAGGGCTGCCCCAAGTGTTTCAAGTCGTCGCTGAAGCCCGGGTTCGTGTGAGGTTTTCGGGGCGTGTCTCCTGGACGTGCCTGACGGGGGCGCCGCGGAGCCGGACTCGGACCCGGCCTCGGACCCGGCTCGGTCTGCGGAGGTCCGGCCCGAGACTGTGGACAGCAGCTCGACTGAACCCGGCGCTCACAAGGACTGAAGTGTCTCGCACACAGAGCTGGGGTCTCTATGTTCAGAGGAAAAAAGCATTTACACGTTTATTTTGGAGATTTCACTTTGCCTCCGAGCGACACTGCACCACACGATTTTCAAATCACAAAACACACAAAACACACAAAACACACAAAAGACACAAAAAACACAAAAAACACAAAAACACAAAAAACACAAAAACACACAAAACACACAAAAGACACAAAAAACACAAAAAACACAAAAGACACAAAAGACACAAAAAACAAAAAACACAAAACACAAAACACACAAAACACACAAAACACACAAAAGACACAAAAGACACAAAACACACAAAAGACACAAAAGAGTGAGATGAGAAGAGAACGAATCCTCTCACACCAAAGTCCCACAAACTGAAAACTCTTTAACTCTGATGTTCAGAGCTTCACTTGTTTCTGTTTCAGGTGATTCTAGTTCCTCCTTCACTGTGATTCGTCGTCGATGCTTCTGGTTCATGTTTTTCTGTGTAAATGAAGAAGAATTTCTCCACAACGATCAAGAGAAGAAAGAACAAAACTTAAAGGAAACAACGAGTCACATTAGTCACACGACAAACTCAACTCATGTTCTGATCCTGAAGGAAACAGAAGGAACTTGTTCATTCAGACTCGTTCTTGATCTGATGATGTGGAGATTCACACAGACACAGATTTGTGACGTTTAAATTCTCCACGTCTCCAGGAGCAGAACATGAGTGGAGTTTGTCCTGTGTGTGTGTGTTTGTGTGTGTGTGTGTGTGTGTGTGTGTGTGTGTGTGTGTGTGTGTGTGTGTTGTGTGTGTGTTGTGTGTTGTGTGACTCGTTTCTTTAAGTTTTGTTCTTTCTTCTCTTGATCGTTGTGGAGAAATTGTTCATGAAGAATGTTTCTCCTTTGTGGAGTTTGTGGAGTTGAAGATTTGGTGATGGAGCAAATTTATGAAACTGCTGGAGAAAACGACACACACTTACACACACACTTACACACACACTTACACACACTTACACACATTTACACACATTTACACACATTTACACACTTACACACCCTTACACACACTTACACACACACTTACACACACACTTACACACACACTTACACACACTTACACACATTTACACACATTTACACACACTTACACACCCTTACACACACACTTACACACACTTACACACACACTTACACACACACTTACACACACTTACACACACTTACACACATTTACACACATTTACACACACTTACACACCCTTACACACACTTACACACACACTTACACACACTTACACACACACTTACACACACTTACACACATTTACACACATTTACACACACATTTACACACACTTACACACCTTACACACACACTTACACACACACTTACACACACACTTACACACACTTACACACACTTACACACACACATTTACACACATTTACACACACACACATTTTACACACACTTACACACACTTACACACACACTTACACACACACACTTACACACACTTACACACACACTTACACACACTTTACACACATTTACACACACATTTACACACACACTTACACACACTTACACACACTTACACACACACTTACACACACTTACACACACACTTACACACACTTACACACACTTACACACACTTACACACACATTTACACACATTTACACACACTTACACACACTTACACACACACTTACACACACTTACACACACACACACATTACACACACATTTACACACATTTACACACATTTACACACACTTACACACACACTTACACACACTTACACACACACTTACACACACTTACACACACTTACACACATTTACACACATTTACACACACTTACACACCCTTACACACACACTTACACACACACTTACACACACTTACACACATTTACACACATTTACACACACTTACACACACACACACTTACACACACACACACATTACACACACACTTACACACACTTACACACATTTACACACATTTACACACACTTACACACCCTTACACACACATTTACACACACACTTACACACACTTACACACATTTACACACATTTACACACACTTACACACACTTACACACACTTACACACACACTTACACACACTTACACACATTTACACACACTTACACACCCTTACACACACTTACACACACTTACACACACACTTACACACACACTTACACACATTTACACACACACACACACTTACACACATTTACACACACACTTACACACATTTACACACACACTTACACACATTTACACACACACACACATTACACACACTTTACACACACACTTACACACACTTACACACACATTTACACACACTTACACACACATTTACACACACTTACACACACATTTACACACACATTTACACACACATTTACACACATTTACACACACATTTACACACACATTTACACACACTTACACACATTTACACACATTTACACACACATTTACACACACTTACACATTTACACACACTTACACACACATTTACACACACTTACACACACATTTACACACACTTACACACACATTTACACACACACTTTACACACACATTTACACACACATTTACACACACACTTACACACATTTACACACACATTTACACACACTTACACACATTTACACACACATTTACACACACACTTACATTTACACACACATTTACACACACACTTACATTTACACACATTTACGCACACATTTACACACACATTTATGCACACATTTACGCACACATTTACGCACACATTTACACACACATTTACACACACATTTACACACATTTACACACACATTTGCACACATTTACACACACATTTACACACACATTTGCACACATTTACACACACATTTACACACATTTACACACACATTTACACACACATTTACACAGAAAAATATGAACCTGAAGTTCCATAAACCTACAGTGAGACACTTTAGACCAGGCATGTCCAAACTATGGCCCGGGGGCCAAATGTGGCCCTCAGACAAATTTTTCTTGGCTCTCAGACGTCCAGTTGAATTGGCCCAAATTACTTTGCAATAATTAAAAAATATTTTTTTACTGCAAGTTTTTTGAAAATCTACCTTGATAAAGCCGATATTGAATATTTAGTGTTTGGTTTGAAGGATCTGAGCAGGAATAAAGACTGAGGCTCATTCTCATGTGTTAAACCTGCACAGATTTCAATTATTCACTGTACTGAGCATCAGTCTACGGCCCTCGATCCACCTCTGCTTCATCTGGGTTTAGATTTGTGGCCCTTGTTAAAAAAAAAGTTTGGACACCTCTGGTTTAGACGATGTGAAAAAGGTTTATAATAATTGAATTCTTGTTCTGGAGTTTCACAGTGATGAAACAAGGAAATGAAATCTTCTGAATGCAAAAAACTTCTCCAAGTGTTTCATAAAACAAATAACAGACTGATGAAGAACACAAGAAACAATCATGAAACAGACACGATTTACTCGAGCTTCTCACTGAACAAAGACGTTTAAAAACACAAATAAAACATGTTTTAGTAAAATGAGTAAAAAGCTAAATCTAAATCTTGGTAGATTAGAGAATAAAATAATCCGATCCTTTAAACGTGAGATTAGATTGAGTCTTTTTCATGGTAAAAACTGCTGATGCTGCAGTTTCTGACTCAGTTTTGTTGGACGTTTCAAACTTTTACTCAGATCTGTGAAGATCCAGAAGATTCTGTGAGCGTGAGTCGACTGTGGTTTTAAAAACGTGAGGTGCAGTTTTGCTTGGAGGCGTGTGGGTCGACTCTGTACATAACCTGATATTTAATGTTTTATTTATTTGGAGTGATTTGTAAACTCATAAAGTCTCGTCTCTTAAAGCTTTAGACGAGACGTGTCCCGTACGAGGACGTAGACGCTCAGTCGTTTGTGTGATCAGACGCCGTGTATTTTTCTATTTTTGTCTCTTCTCATCTGTGAAATGGAGCTTAGCGTAATTCAGCCTGGAAGACGAAGACTTGTCTGCGCTCCCATCTTCTACCTCAGCGCTTCTCCAGAGTTTACCTGCTCCTCTGCCTCACCGCCGCCGCCGCCGCGCTCCTGAGACTCCTCCCCCCTAACCCTAAACCCCGCCCCCATCTAAACCCCGCCCCCTTCTGCCCTAAACCCTCACAGTCTGTTCATGTTTCCATCACAAACAGGAAGTCGTTTGTGAACCTGCGGAGAAACATCAGTGTGTTTCTCCACAAACCCACTGGGTCAGTTGTGTGTCAGTTGTGTGTCAGTTGTGTGTGTTAGTTGTGTGAGTCAGTTGTGTGAGTCAGTTGTGTGTGTCAGTTGTGTGAGTCAGTTGTGTGTGTCAGTTGTGTGTCAGAGTTGTGTGTCAGTTGTGCGTCAGTTGTGTGTCAGTTGTGTGAGTCAGTTGTGTGTGTCAGTTGTGTGTGTCAGTTGTGTGTCAGTTGTGTGAGTCAGTTGTGTGTGTCAGTTGTGTGTCAGTTGTGTGAGTCAGTTGTGTGTGTCAGTTGTGTGTGTCAGTTGTGTGAGTCAGTCATGTGTGTCAGTTGTGTGTCAGTTGTGTGAGTCAGTTGTGTGTGTCAGTTGTGTGAGTCAGTTGTGTGAGTCAGTCATGTGTGTCAGTTGTGTGTGTGTCAGTTGTGTGAGTCAGTTGTGTGTGTCAGTTGTGTGTCAGAGTTGTGTGTTGAAGTTGTATGGCAGTTGTGCGTCAGTTGTGCGTCAGTTGTGTGTCAGTTGTGTGTCAGTTGTGTGTGTCAGTTGTGTGTGTCAGTTGTGTGTGTCAGTTGTGTGAGTCAGTTGTGTGAGTCAGTTGTGTGAGTCAGTTGTGTGTGTCAGTTGTGTGAGTCAGTTGTGTGAGTCAGTCATGTGTGTCAGTTGTGTGTCAGTTGTGTGTGTCAGTTGTGTGTGTGTCAGTTGTGTGAGTCAGTTGTGTGTGTCAGTTGTGTGTCAGAGTTGTGTGTTGAAGTTGTATGGCAGTTGTGCGTCAGTTGTGTGTCAGTTGTGTGTCAGTTGTGTGAGTCAGTTGTGTGTGTCAGTTGTGTGTGTGTTGTGTCAGTTGTGTGTGTCAGTTGTGTGTCAGTTGTGTGTCAGTTGTGTGTCAGTTGTATGTCAGAGTTGTGTGTT